TTCTTTAGACAACACTGTGGATGGAAAATGCCTTCCCACAGCACCCATGCATACCTGCTATTAACCAGGTATAATTCATTTCATATCACTGAGCCATTCAATCAAAATATGCAAGAAATGACCTCTGGTGTAGTCTGGGCCAGATGTCCATCACAGGTGCAGTCTACATCAGAGGGTAGTTGGGCCACGTTATGTGGACATGTTTTGGAAGACAGGAAGTCACCACTGCTAAATGGATGGGAGTTGAGGGAGGGCAGACAGGTCTTAACAGGCATTCAGCATATTCTCAGAGGCAGAACTTTATAAATAAATTCTGTTGATGCCCAATCCCATAGCCCCTTGTTCTACTTTAAGATAACAACTCTCCAGGTGTTTGCCTTTCTTCTTCTCCACCTGAGAGCTTTATCTAACGCCAATGACGCTTGCTGCTTTGCATATACAAAGCCCAAACTCGAAGTGCAGGGGAGGTAACACTCCAGGGGTCACCTTCAACCAATGGGGGATGGGAGTACTGTATCAATGGCCCAGGTTCCCCACCCTTTTTAGAAGGATTCTGAGGTATATCCCAAAATTTCACATGGTTTCTCAGAGCGTCCTGGGTGGGATCCTGCCAAGTTGCCCACATGATAACCAAAATTAATGTTCCCTGAATGACATTTGTCACTTAGTTGGCTTTTTTCGTTTTATTTATTTCCAAACTTGGGTTTCCTGGGGACATTTCCCAAATAGACCACATGAAACCAAGGCTTTGACTCAGAGTCAGTTTTTCAAGAACCCAAACTAAGAGATGGGATTAGGTAGAAATTGCACAGAACATTGTGTCCAACAGTAAGAATTATCTTTTCTGGAGAAGTACACTCTGACATATACACCTGAGTCTAGCAAGTGAATAAAGGGCTACAGATAAATTTTCCAAAGATTCACAGGAATCTCCAATCATGGAGGCCCTTAGTCTATATAGGGGCCTACCAGGATGGAGGTCTCATTCTCCTTCAGAGTGAGCCAGGCTGTGAATATGGTAAGTGCAGTAGGCTAAATAGTCCACACTGTCATCTCTGCCACCTGTGAATATGGTACATTAAATGGTAAAAGGAACCTGACAGATGGAATTAGGGTTTTGGACCTTAAAGTAGGAAGATTATCCTGGGTTCTTAGTAAAGTTATCCTGGATTATCTGAGTAGACTCAATCTAAACACATAAGTTCTTAAAAGTGGAAGAAGTCAGAAGAGTCAAGGAGAGTCAATGGAAAAAGAATCAGAAGAGATTCAAAGATTGAGATGGATTCAACCTGCCATTGATGCTTTGAAGATGGAGGAAGAGGGCCATAAACCAAGGAAGGTAGCAGCTTCTAGAAGCTGGAATAGCCCTCAGCTGACAACCATCAAGGAATGGCAACCTTGTCCTAGAACTTCATGAAACTGAATTCTGCCAAAAATCTGTGTGAGCAAGTAAACAGATTCTTCTCTAAGGCCTCCAGAAAGGAACACAGCCTGCATACACCTTGATTTTAACCCAGTGTGATCCGTGTTGGACTTCTGACCTACGGAAATGTGAGATAATTAATTTATGATGTTTTAGGTCCTGAAATTTGCGGTAATTTATTATGGCAGCAATAGAAAACTAATACAATCAGAACTTTGTGAAAAAATTGCAATGAGGTAAACTGCGACACCTTAGGAAATAAACTGTAAGGGATTAAATTCTAGAAAGAGCTCAGTTGAAGAATGAAGATTAGTAACAAATCCATTTAACAAATGTAACTTGACAACCACATGCTGGGTAGAGGATATACAGTGGTGACCAATAATGGTGATGATAATGAAGAGTAACCTTTCCCCAGCATCCATCAGTTGAAAGGACCATCTGTGAAGATTAGCGAATGATCAGAGGTGGAAATATCGCTTTCCTGGAGACGGTTTCTAAAGTGTGATAAAAATATCACTAGAGTTCATCTAGTTTCCTTCCTCCCAAATTCTTATTCCACAGTCAATCTTTAGGTGCTCAGTTAGGCTTCCTAGAGACCTTCAAAGTAGCAGGATTGGTTCTGGCTCCATGATCACGCATCACATTGACAGAGTGGGTACACATGTGCCCATTATTAGTTAAGAGTTTGGCCTCTAGTCCCTTCACATCCTGTATGATGCAGTCCCTGTGAATTCATTCTCTGGACCACGTCACCCTGCATCCATTGAAGCACCCGGCCTAGGCTCTGACAACCGACCTTGAAGGAACCAAGTAGATTGTGGCCTCTATGGTCACCTACAGTGATCCTTACCCTGGGGTGCCCTGGGAAGGGAAACTTAGGGATGCCTGTGGTCCCTTCACCACAGAGGCAGAGGGTCTGGAGAATAAAACAGGCAAGGGGGTAGGGGTAGGGCAGGTGTCAAACCTCTCCTGGCAGCACAACTTTCTCTGTCAATAACAAGATACTCAACTTGGCCCTGCCTCAGTTTCCACATTCTTGAAATGAGACTACCTCACAGAGCCATTGTAGCAACTAAATGAGTGAAATTCACTTAAAGCATTTAGCATAGCACCCAGGATATTTCAAGTTATCTATAAATGTTAGTTAATTTTGTTCAAATCCAAGTTCTCACTCACTTGCTGAGTCAATTTTAAAAAGTTAATTCACTTTTTTGCATCCCTGTTTCCTTGTCAACAGAAAGGAGACAATAAAGTGGTACCAAACTCAACTGTCATATGGAATAATGGAATTAATATGAGTGAAGTGCTTCACACAGTGTGGGCATTTAGTAAGTATTTTATTGTCGTGATGTGTTGCTGTTAAGGAGGAGGCCCTCAGCTCTGGGCTGGGCAGGAAAAGCAAGGCTGTTACTTCAACCTGAGGGTCCCCATTCCCACCAGCAGAGACTGGGGTCACTGGGGTCTCCAGGGAAAGATCAGACACTAGTTCAGTAACCAGGGAAGTCCGCACTCATGTGAGTGCTGGGCAAATGGTTAAAGCAGTGGGATCCGAAGTACAAACTTCGAAAATAGGCCGCAGAGGGCCAGAGAATGTGGTGCGCAGGAAGGTGTAGATGTGAGATCCATCCAGGGCATTGTAGAATGAGACCTCACCACTCTCATAGTCCAGGAATACCCCCACTCTTTGAGGAGGGTTGGCAATTGTCAGGTTGGTCCGAGGGCCAGAGAAAGCATGATAGTCATTCCCATGAGACAGCTCCATAGTCCAGAATCCATTCTGGGGGTTTATAGAAACATGATCTTTCCTCTCCACATTCTCCCTACACACCCCCAGAAGCCACTGTTCCCTGCCCCCCACCTCTACCTCCCAGAAATGTCTCCCTGATGTGAAGCTTTTGCATCCAAGCACAAAGTTAAAGTAATCAAATCTCTTAGGATTGTCTGGTACATTCTGTGGTGGAACTGCCAGCTTCAGGCTCCTCTGGTCCTCAGAAACAAGGAGTTTGGGGTTTGCTGTGTCTGGATCAAGAATCACATCCTCTGCGGAAAGTTGGAGCACAGACCATGGGGTCAGCCACTGTTCCTAGACCTCAGAGCCTCAGACTCCAAGACCTGGGTCTGGCCGAGGAGGTCTGAGTCCAGTGTCCAGTGTCCCCAGTCAGCCCTGAATGTAACTCTCTCAATAATAGCAAACAAAAGGCCCAGGTGTCTTGTGTTCAGTGGCCAGGAATGCCGAGGGTCAGGGTCTGCCTAACTCGACATCTCAAGCTGGCTGCGTCCTTCCATATTTTTTCTTACTTCCCTCCACAAATTGACTTTACCCACCTGTGCTTTATAATTATATAGATTTACATTTTAATCCTTGCTTTACCACTCATGAGCTGAGTTATTTTCCTTTTCTATAGTCTCTCTTTCTATAAACACAAGGTATACAATGTCTTTCAGCCTCAATTTCTGTATATGGAAAATGGGGATAAAAATCCTAATCTCTAAAGTAGAAAAAGACAGCACAAGTTTTATATGTAGCACAGGGATGGTCCTGGAGAAGGAGCCTTGATAACATAATAGCTCCATGCCTTTTCTGTGCTAGAGGCCATGTTGGGGACTTTCTTTGCTCCCAGATCCACTCTTCACCTTTCTCTACCCTCTTCTGGGCCCCAGGAATCTAGCCTCTACGGACAACATCACTGGGTGCTCTTGACTGTGGTTACCTGTTGGGTTTGGCTAATGGGAGGTGCTAATTGGAAGCAGAAGGAAAAGAGAAGAACAGCGTTTGTTTCCCCTACTTCCTCCCTGCCAACGTCAGATAGTGATGCTCTAGCAAAGGCATGACTCCTCTCAGGCAGCCCTGGCCTTGAGCTACAGCTTCCTCTGGGCTCCAGTGACTGCTCCCTCTCTCTATTCCTTCAAGCCTAGGGGTGGTGACACCTCCCCACTATTGTGAGCCCTGGAGCACTTCACATTCCCTTGTTGATTTTCCTTAATCCCACTCCCATCTCTGTAAAGTATTCCTTTCCTAAACCTTTTTCAGCCACCCAGTTTGAACATGCCATCTCTTTCTTGTTGGTTTTTGAACAAAACACATTCATCACCTCATTTAGTTTTTACCTCAGCCCTCACATAATAGGGATTATGATCATCATTTAAAACTGAAGAAACTAAACTTTAGAAACATTAAGTTACTTTAGGACACACAGCAGCAGGAGGTGGCATAAAAAGCTTGAGAAAAGCAAAGGCCTTAGCTCATTGCCTTCTCTCCTTGGTCATTCCACATCCTCACTGTCCCTGCAGTATTATTTCACTCTGCCTCTCCTTCCCTCAATCTACCCTTTATGCCTCTTCCTTCCCATGAAGATCTGTGGAAGCCAGGAGAGCAATCCTCCCTGGTTCTCTGGGCTCTCAGCAGGAAGGCCCTGGAGATGGACTAAGGTTTGAGACGAGGACCTCAAATCACACACCCGGAACTCTCCCCGTCATGAGGAATTTTGTTCCCAGAATCTTGAAAGTTGGAGAAGAAAATAGGCGTATGGTCCCTCAGGTTGTTGTCCTAGGGAGCATACAGTGATTCACTCACCAGCTTGGAAGAAGGCCATCTTCCATTCTGAAAGGCAGGAGACACAGATAAGGAAAAGGCATTATTTGTGTTCTTCCTCCCACCCATTCTCCTCACTAAGCCTTTTCTCTCTCTCTTTCTTCAGTCTCTTCCAATGTGCAGCTTCCTTCATCTACAGCTCTGCTGAATCAGACATACGACATCTCAAAAACAGTGGACGTCCTTCCCTCCATCATGATGGAGCTGCAGCTGACACAGTCAGGCTTTGCTATGGTTTGGGCATGTGTGCCAGCAGGGTGAGGGGTGGCTGAAAATGCCCAGATGTTTTATCTGGAAGGTCCTTTCTGAGGCTCCAGAAAAGCAGGGGTGAAATTCCCCACAGAAAATGAGCCTCTGGGCTAGATCTTCAGTATTCTTACTGAGAATGCCAATGTGTCACACAGCAGAGAAAAGGTTTAAATGCTTAGTACACATGTGCTGGGAAGCTTAGAGAACATCATGGTCACTCACCAGCATAGTCCTGAGACTTCTCTCCACCTACAATGGAAGAAAGGTAGAGATGTCACCTGAAACATGTCATTTCTGAGTCATTTCCTTTCTCTTGTTTTACATCCATGTAATTGTTCTTTTTGACCCTGAACCCCACCCTTCCCATCTTCTCCCTCTGCCTGCTCAATTCTCTCCTCCCCTCTCCTCCTTCATACCATATCTGAGAACATAAATTGCATGCTGATGATACCACAGCCACTATGTAAGTGCTTTCCCAGCTGAGACCCGGCAGATCTATTCTGTACGTATCTATGCTCCCATACCTGGGTGTGGGTGTTACTGTGTGTACACGAGTATGTGTATGTGTACTAGAATCCATCGATCTCAAGCTGTATTACGTCCTCTCTACTTCTGAGGAAAATAGGGCAACTTAATGTGGAAATTTCAGATTCTATATTTTAAATGTAGTTGTAATAAATCCATGACAACTGAGACACTGTGGCCACTCCTTTGCTTAAGACACACTTTTCCCTCTCCTTCTTCTCTGATTTTCTCATTCTTTTAAACTTTTCATTCTTTGTTTTCTTCTCAGCAGGGTACAGATTACGTAAAGCAACTAGTGAGGTTCCTAGCATAGGGAAGGCACTTTATCCAGGGGGTTATATCCCTTCCTGCTCCTTTCTTTTCAAATGCACCCTGGATATTCCCTGTTGACTTGATGGGCTGATGAGCCTGTAAGCCCCTCCTGGAAAGAGACTGAAGCCCCTTTTCTCCACTAAAAAAAAATACTCCCCACTGTTTCTCCCAGTTCACCCACCCTTATTTCTTTCCCTTCTAAAGGCATCTGGGATATTTCTCAGTCCTAGAAAGAGTTAAGGGTGAGGAAACCAGCTGGAAAATATCGGAGTGGAGAGTCTTAGATGCAAATTCAGAGAAAATATCAGAGCCACTGAGGCATGAGCCATGACAGGCAGTCTATGTCTCTTAAGTTTGCAATGGAAGAAACCTGAAGAGTCATGAAGCAGCTTAATGCAGAGATACCAAGACGTGAGTTGACCCCTGGGGGAATCTGAACTTACGCAGTACAAGCTGGAGGTACTCTGGAAAATAAGCAGGAAAAAAAAAGACACTACTGTTATGGGGATTGAATGGGGAGGACTTTTGGAAAATAAAACTTACAAATGACCCAGTGCAGGGGTGGGTGCCTGGGGTGAGGATGGGGTGAGATCCTGGGGGGCACCCTCCCCTAAGCCAGTGCCTCAGGTTCTCTCCCTGATTTGATACCTCTTTCCCTTCGTTCCTGCTCCTTTTCTGCTTGCTCTTTCTCTTTCTCCTTATGCTGTTGCCAGACGAAGTAACAGGCCACTGTGAGAAGCAACAGCAAGACTGGGAGGGTCCCCGCCAGTGTGGAGATCCAGGGCCAGGCTCTCCAGAAGAAGGGGTCTGCAATGGAATAGAGCGTTAGCCTCTCACCCCCAGGGCTGGAATCATAGAGTTGATCTCATGATGTTAAATGATCTTTGTCCTCCAAAAGTCTCAGGGAACTTTGGGGAGGACTTCGGTAAACTCTTACTACAAAATAGTCTATTACTTATCTTGAACTGTCTGCTTCTCACATGTGAATAGGAGTTACTTGAGCATCAGAATCAAATGTTTTTTCTACGTTAATTTTTCAATAGGTCAAATGTACATGGTTCAAATATCGAAAAAGTCTAAAAGTCTTCCAAGTCCCTCCTCCCTACCCCCATTTATTAGCCTCTCATTAGTCAGCTTAATATGTGGTTAAGAATAGGAATGTTGGGGCTGGAGGGCCTGCATTAAAATTCTGGCTCCTCCATTTAACTGGCAGTGTGATCTTGGACTAATTACTTAACTGCTCTGTTCATGGTGTCCTAATCTATAACATGGGGGTAATAATAGGACCTCACTCATAAGGTTAAAGGATTAAATTAATGCTTATAAAGAGCCTGACATACAGTGAATACTTGTATTATTTATTTTTATACCAAAGACAGCATTCTATACAAACTGGTCTGCGGGTGGCTTTTTCTCTTCATCATGGAGATCTTGCCATATTATTATACAGAGAATGTCTGTGTCTTCTTTCCTAGCTGTGCAGTATTCTGTTGCATAGAAGTTCTTGTGCATAGTTTCTAACTTTTTGCTATTGTAATTAATGCTACAAGAAATAGCCTTTTACATGAGTCATTTCATACAGGCAAGTACCTCTGTCAGAGAAATTCCCAGAAGTGGGATTTTGGATCAATATTTATTAAGTAATTTGGAGAAATTCCACTTATTGCCCCCAATAGAAGTTGCGCCAATTTGTACCAAAAACATACCAGATTGTCCCAATAAATTTCTAAAAGTAACGGTCTCCCCACATTCCTGCCACGAGAGTGTGTTATCTGCCACCTCAATTTTGTTTTCCTTTGTTTTGTTGCCAATCTCACAAGTGGAAATGTTTTCATACACATTCTTCTATTGCGTGAGATAGGACAACATCTTGTGTTATTTCCTTTTTTGTGAACTAATAATTCATATCCTTTGCTCATTTTCTATTGCATTGCTTTATATTTTAAGGATATTAGTTCTTTCCATAAGATACCAGTTGTGCACATTTTTTCCAGTTTTATCATTTGTCTTTGCTTAAGGGTCTGATCTTTACCATATTCCCCTAATTCACATTGCCTATCACAGTTCCTGGCACAAAGGAAATAGTAAATATTTGTGACATAAACAGCTTTTGGAGAAAAGAAACATCCCTGGTGTAAGAAGAAAGCTCTGGATCCTGCTCTGTGCCTTATATTCACTGCAGAGACCCAAGTCAGCAACAGAGAATCACACATCCTCCTTCTTTCAATGGCCACAGCTCAGCACAGTGTATCTGAGGCTAAGTGGGGTACTGACCTGCGATGGAAATCCTGGTGGTCTTTTCCTGGTTGAGGAGGGGATTTCTGATGATACAGGTCACCCCTTCCCTAGAGCTGCCATTCAGGATCACAGATGCTGTGACTGCATATAGACCTGCTCTATTTTCATGCAAAGATGCTGCCCGAGCTGGCATGTCCTCTCCATTGGCATCTCTCCACTGTATTTCCGGTTGGGGATACCAGTCGGTGGACATGCACTCCAGATGGATCCCTCCATCCTCATAACCCTTCATCTCAATATCAAGATCAGAACCCAGTGCTGTGGAAGGATAAATGAGCCTGAATTCTTTTCAAAGAAGCCTCCTGTATTGATGAGAGTTTCACCAGGAATCCAATGACACACTCACATTAGATAACTCAATGGGAGTTTCATTAAGGAGCTATTTACAAAAGTGTGGTCATGGTGAGGGGAAAATTACATGGGATGGTACAATACCCCAGGGCCAGGAACAATGGAGCTATTACCACCCACCTCCAAACCCAAAGGAGGGTGGAAAAGAAGCCATTTTGAAGACCTAAAAAAATAAAGTCATGTAGTGAGGGCAGTCAGCTGGAAAGGTCCTGCAGGGAGAAAACTGGGAGGAGAAGTACCTAGACCGCTCTCTCCTCTCTCACTTCTCTCATCTTCTGCAATGGCTCCTCATTGACCAAATCCAGCCAGAAGCCACAGGGCAAGAGAGTGCCCTGACACAGAGAAATGCAACCCTTGATATCTGAACATCAGCCTGGTCTCAGTGTTCTCCTGTTGAATATAAGCAACTTCATGGAACATCAGCATCAGACAGGGGCATTTTGTCACTACGATGGGTCAAGACAAAAACAGGACAACTCAACAATTGTGTTTGAACATAGAGAAAAATATGAACACTGTCCAAACCACAGTCATGACCAAACATTTCCCTATCCTGGCTATGAGTGACTGCTGCTCCTTGACCAGTTACCGCTTGGGTTTTACTTTAGTCTTCCTCCTTAGTAAGACTCATTAATACACCCATCCATAGTATCACACATCCCACCTTCCTGATGGCTTTCAATCCAGACCAAAGCCCTACTTCCATAAATCCCCCTCCAACTCCCCTAACACAAGCCCAAATTCTATACCGAGTCTTCTCTAACACCCTCTGCCTGAGACACTCTCCCTGCAACATTAAATCAACACAAATTGGTCAACTGCTGGTGTGTTCCAGGGGCCTTTGGCTGGAGAACGTTGGCAGCACAGATGTCCTGCAGGTGTGACTCCCCAGGCCCACAGCAGTGTTCACGTGGAGGAGCCACAGAAGCGGTCTGGAACACAACTGAACCAAAAAAGCTGTGTGCTGTCACAGACGAGATATTTTCTTATCCTTCCTAACTCTGACCTTTCAATTCGTCTCTTAGACCCTGGTGGCCAGCATGAGGGAGTTCTTTACTTGATACTATAGTGTACAGGAGAGATTATTTCTAGAGGAAAACCTGTGTCTCTCCCAAAGGCCTAACTGAAACAAAGAGGGAAAGCAGTGGAGGCAGATCCTAGTGACCAGCCAGGAGTGCTATGAGGTGGATTTGGAGCATGAAATATTCATCTGCCCCCCAGAATCACAGAGGAAAGATCTCAGAACAAAACTTGGATGCTCACCTGCAACCTCCAGCTCCACCATGGCTTTTTCATAGAAGTCGTCATCTTGGAAATAACACAGGTAGTTTCCAGTGTCAGAGGGTCTGATGTTGTAAATTCGGAGAGTAGCCTTCCCTTCAGTGATGCCATCTCTTAAAATTGAAGTTCTCCCTCGATACTCTGCCATCTGTTTTTCTTTTATTTCCTTCCCATTTACATACTCATATACCACCTCCCTAAGGCTGGATCTCACCCACATCAGCTCCATGGTCTCTGCACTCATTCTCGGGGAGAGATGACAAGGCAGATCAGCGTCTTCACCCACCATGGCCAGGATGGGCCCATGGGGTCCAATCACAGAAAACTGACCTGGTCATTAAAAGGTGAAGCTCCATCAGAAGGAGTGGGCCATGATGGTAAGGGAAGGGGCCTCATGTAGAGGCAGTGAGGTACAAAAAAATCTAGAGAGAAACAAGATTCTAACAGAAGTACAATTTGTCTTAATGACATGCACACCTTCTGTTTTGGATGGGACTTCCAGGTATGAGAAGTTGTCAGAAGTTCTGACTGGGTACTAATAGGCAATTGTCAGCTTCAGAAACATAAAAGCAGAAAGTTCCTTACCTGAGCAAGGGGTAAGCAGCTGGACCAAGATGAGGCAGACAAGGAGGTCAAGCAGAGGGAAGTCTAGGGAACTTGCCGTTTTCATCTGTGCTGCAGAGAGATGATGGAGAGAGTCAGGCAGAAACAATGACGTGGAAGAAGATCACGAATTCCGTATCAAACCTCCACCTCCCCAGCGTCGACTCAGGGTGAAACACACAGTCACTAGTGTGGTGACTCAAGATCCTCCTCTGTCAAAATGTCTGCTTGGGAATCTCTTAACCTTTGAGCTCAACATGAAAATCAAGCATAAAAATATGTAATGTTAAGTGTACATACATTTACCATAAATCTTATGTATGTAGGTTTGAATTTACATACATTACCCCTAATCCATCAAGAAATCCTTGGCTCTGCTGTCCAAATATGTTCAGAATCCTTCCTCTTTCCCACAGCCAGGTCCCAGCCTCCACCATCATACTCTGATTAATGCAGGACCCTCCTCTCTGGGTCCCCTGATTCCACTTGTGTCCCCTACAGTTTATGCTCAAAACAACAGCCAGAACATTCCTTGCGTCACATCATGTCTCTCCTCTGCTCAGCACTTTTTGTAACTCCCGTTTCACTCAGAGTAGATGCTGAAGTCCTCACAATGGCCAACATGGGCCTCCAAGACCTGACCTCTCACTTCATCTCTCCTACTGTCCTTGTCTGTTCCAGCCACACTGCCCTTCTTGCTGGTCCTTAAACTGACCAGGACAGAGGGCCTCGGCTCTCACTCTTCCCTCTACCTGGAACTCTCTTCCCTCAGATATCCACAAGGCTCATTCCCTCACCTCTTTCAAGCCTTTCCTCTAAAATTGCTTCCTCTATGAGACCTTCTCTGACCACAGGATTATGGCAAACTGCTCCCGTCCCCCTGAGCCTGCTCTCTTTTCCCCATTGAATTTTCATCATCAAACATATTATGTGTTTACTATGTTTCCACCTGCTGGAACGAAAGCTCCACATGAAAGGATATTGATCAATTTTGTTTCCTGATGTGTAACAACCCTGTAGAACAGTGTGTGGTTCACATGGGACTCTCAATAATATTTCTTGAATGAGTGAATGGATGAGGGGTAATATATTAACCCATCAATATTCACTAGCATTTTATACAAGTTAAAATGATCCCATTAAATGGTTGTCATACAATAGGAGGGGAGGTGGAGTCTTGTGAAGACAAGCGTCTCCCGTTAGAATGACATGCTGTTTTGGTCTGGCTTAGGGAGCCATTCACAGCTTCATATGCTCCCACTGGGACTTGCCTATATTAATGTATTTATTCCTATTTTTAAATGAAGTGGTTTCAGGGAGTAAGTGTGTCCTGGATATGCCTGTCAGAGTGTTAGCACTCGTTGTGCCTCAGTAGAACCTTTTCACAATAGTTCTTTGGAAAAGAAATATCCCTGAGAAGGAAATTATTCATTTCCTGTCTTCCCTTTCCCCAGGTGTTCATCAATGTTCCTTGGCTGATAGCCTCTGGGCTCACCAGCAATGGATAAACTCCCTGGTCTTAGTCCTTCCACTGCTAGAGAAACATCTTTTGAGGCAGAGATATAAGAGCTGGCACTTGCAAAGAAGGGGCAAATATGTCAAGCTAGGATCTCACAGCAGCCCAATAAAGCTCATGACTCTACAAAGTGTTGGGGTTCTCCCAGCTCAGAGGCAGACTCCCCACACGCTGCCCAGTGCTCCCTACTGTATCTTGGCTCAGAAAAACACCTCTACTATCTTTTAGGCAAGGTATGTGGCATCACTGTGAACATTTGTGATAAGGGAGGTGTGGGGCCCTTGCCAGCTGTCAAGACTGGGTTTTAGTTGGAGTTCTAGCTTGGCTTCCATCCTAACATCCCCAGATTTGGCTGCATCCCTAGATAGTGGGGAGCCTGAGAGTAGGCGTAGGTGGATCACTCAGAGACAGGACTGAGATCTCTGGACATAGCCTCTCACTTCTCCCTGGTCTTCTCCCATCATGCATCCTCTCCTTCCCTGAAGACATCAGGTGGAACGGGGTGCTGACAAATGACTTGAGGGTGTGCCCTTCTCTGGAACAACACTGTGGACTCCTCTAAGCCTCAACCCATGGCCATCACTAAGTTTGAATCAGGACACCATAAGACTCTGGTTAAAATCCAGGCAGACTCTTTGATGGAGGCTCTGGAGTCAGTCAGAGGCTGAACCCAGCATTTCTGAATCACAAGGCTAGTGAATGGGACAGCTAGGGATAAGACCAGGTCTCATCCATCTTTTCATTCATTCACCCAACAAATACTTACTGAGCACACACTATGTGCCAGGCCCACTAGCTGTCAGGTATAGGTACAAAACAGGATGGAAACTATTTAGCAGCTCTGTGGTTGACAAGCTGTGTGATCTCAGTCATGTGACAATGCCTGTTTAAACTTCAGTAACTCATGAAGCAATGTGAAATATAAACTTTAGAATGTGTATAATTGGCCCAGCAATTCCACTTCCATATATTTGTTCCAGCAAAACCCTTGCACGTGTCCAGAGAGAAGCATGTATAAGGATGACAATGCAGCGTTATATTTAGAACTAAAAAAAGGATCAGAAACCTATAAGGTCACTGATAGGAAACTGTTTAGTTAATGGCTCATCGCTATGAAGGAATTTAATGAGGCAGTTAAGACTAAGTTATAGTCACTAACCCAGACAGTTGAGACATATTAAGTGAACAAAAAGCGCATTTTAATGATTCTATTTAAAAGAAAACAAAGTTATAAATTTGTATATACATGTTTGTATAATTGCCTTAAGAAAGTTCTAAAAGGATACATGCTACTCTGAGAACTGAGGATTGAGTGTAAGATACTTTTGTCTTTGACACTATATTTTGGAAGAAGGTTTTAAATTCAAAAAGTTTTCATGTATAATTTAACAATTAATAACTGTTACAAGTAATTATAGTGACAGTAGCATGTTACTTTTTCAGAAAATAACAACTCTGCCAAAACTAACCAGCATGAGGTCCCAAGTCAGGCTACCTGCAAGTCTGGGAATAGCCGGGGAACAAGGGAGCAGAAGTCTGTGCAGCTGGCAGTGCTTCAGACCCTCGTCTGAAATCTGGAGACACGCTCAGACAAAACATTGCCGTTCAGCACATCCTGTCCTCTTCAAACTGTTCTCTGTGCTGCTAGAGAGAGGACAATAGTATTATTATTATTATAGGTACAATTACTCTGCTGTCCTCAGAGTGGGTAATAGGCTTTGTTTTTTAGGATATTTATTGTTTTTGGTCCTAATTACAAACATATTTATAATGGAGAAAAATGTAAAATAATAAAATTTAAATAATCTGTAATGGTAATCATATACTTCACACCATAACAATGTAGATGTTTCTGGAAGTATTTTGGCCGTATATATATACCAAATACCTTGGAAATGTTTCATTCTTTGACCCAGAGATTCCACTTGTAGGAATTACTCTTAAAGTGGGAAAATCAAGTGTTAACACAATGATTTATGTTTAAGGTTGTTCATCGAAGTAAAATCTACAATAGCAAAATGTAGATATGATTTAAGTATCCAAAGTGGATTAAATTTTGTTACGATTATAAATAAAAGTTCTTTAATAAAATTATAAATTATAAAATTATAAATTAAATTATGTTCACTCTGAGGACAGCAGAGTAATTGTACCTGTAATAATAATAATAATATATAATATATATTTATATATATGTATATATATAACAATTATAAATAAAAAGTCTTTTTGAAAAGAGCTAAGGACTGTCTGGAAATCCCTTCATGATTGAACACTGTGTCATTTAGCCATCCTCCAACAGTTATACATGTATATCTATCTTGTATATGGAGGTTCGTTCATATTTTTCTATATTACAAATAATTCTGTAAGGAACATCTTTACATATAAATCTTTAGGGCACATCTCATTTTAAAATCTCTTAAAATACATTCCCAGAGATGATCAGGAGAGATTCTAAGAGTCCAGTGTTCCTTTCTGACCACAGGAAGTTCCTAAGAACATGTAGTTGGCAAGTTTCCTCATTCAGGTTGTCTCCCTCCCACCAAATTTCCCAATGCAGGTCCCTACGTTTTGCGCTGCCTCCCACCGCTACCCCTCATCTGCTCACCACACACACCAGCACCAACTCCCTCTCTCTGGGTGAGGACTTCCCTGTGCCCACTCTCAGCTGTTTAGCCTCTGTCCTTCCAGGGCCTGTGGCCATGGCTTTTACCAATTTCCCCCACTTACCCTATGGCATTCCCATCTGGAAATCACAGCCCACGGAATGAAGGGATTTAATAATTCTGCATTATAGTTAACATGCTCCTCTGGAAGAAAGGGAAGAGGAGAGTCTGCTCACTATGACAAACAGTAACAGAGTCCCTCTTTGGAAGAATTGGTTTTTGATTGGCTCAGAGGGGTGTTTCTCATCAGTTGCTAGGCAGACATCAGTGAGGAACGTAGAATGAAAACTAAAACTGTACTGGATTGTACAGAATGAAGAAAAATTCCAGCTCTAATCCCCTCACTGTTTGTGTCTCTCTGTGTTTACCTATTTGAATCATTCACGTGTATGTTTGTGTGTAATCAGGATTTCATTATCTACACCTGTTTTATGTCTTTTATACCATAATAGATTATCAGCAGAACTAAGCAGAAAAATTACACGATTTTAATGTCTGAAGAGAGGAAGAGGTATATTAATTAAGATGTTTCTGTGGCCATTTGCTGACATCTGTGTGCATGAAGGTGGGCACATGGAGCAGGACATCTTTTACAACAGAGCTAAATGGAAGTATGAATGGAAAGAAAACCAGATTCACTCCACCTTTTCAGCACCTCTTAAACTCAAGTCTCAGATTCATGAGCAAATCATCTAATTTTCAGCTTTCCAGAGGCAGTGCTGCCAGGGACTGATGGACGTGTCTTATCTTTTTCAGAATTTCCATATTTGGAGTGTTGCTGAGCAGCTCTTTCACCCTCTGTGCCTTATTTGTGCTACTTTTGCATTTTTGTCACTGGAACCAAAGGGGGTTCCCTCCTGGCAAGTTAAATCAGACTCTTTCCCAGAAGTAGTTGTCTCACAAAGTAAGGTGTATTTGTAACAAATAGCAGACCATGAGGAATCATTTCCAGAATCATGGCATCCCCCAAACAAAGAGAAGCAGGGACCTTTCATTTCAGATGGTGAACAAATATTCAAAAGAGAGAGGTGGGTATTTGCTTGCACAGGCTCAGTTGGAAAACAAGCTTCCACATACACTTCAGGGATGGTAATAAGGCCTAAGCTCCCCCTGGAGAGATCTCAGCATTAAAAATAAGACAAAGGTCATAGGCATAGATCTTGTGGTGAGGCTTGGTCTGGTTCAGGGTGGTTGGTGATTGTATCTTCATAACATAGCAAAAGGGGAAAAAACAATTTGAAAAAACAGTTAAATGCTTCCAAATCCACCCTGAGTTACTTGGAGCAACTAGTCTGTGATGTTTTCACATGTACTCGTTTCTACTCTGCCCACAGGATTCTTTACTCTCTGAGATTAGACTCTGAATAGGCTGTGAAGGCTATTTCTGTAAGGTATCTTTGGGACGAACTGGTCTTGCCTTTGGTCTATGGTCTCCCAAGACACTTTATTTGCATCTCAAGTCCCTTATTAAAGCTCCTAAGGCTTTAATGTGAGCCTGGCTGATGGAATTTGATTACATTCCAACAGTGTGAAGTTAAGCTACATGGTAGACATGGCTTGTTGCTTGTGCAATATCTAGTCCCTGCTTGTACTTAGGAATCAAACCCAATTTGGGCGGGGGGGGGGGGGGGGGGCGGATCCTGCATGTGCCCATCCCCCTTATAGATGGGAGACACCAAGGACTAAGTTTGAACCAGTGATTTGTAGGTGGGAGTTGTCGGGTATGTTTCTCAAGAGAGGTCCATATTCTTCCTACTTCCTCCTTCTTTTGCCTTGAATGTGGTCCTTGGAGCTGGAGTGCAGGGACCATCTCATGACAATGAAGCAACTTTGGGAATGGAAGCCACATGCTGAGATGGAAGAGAGTAAAGACAGAAGGAGGCTGGGGCATGGATGCATCTCTGAGCTGGCAGATCAGCTCTGGACTGCTGCCCTCTGAATTCATTTTACATGAGAGGGAAAACAACCCTTGTTTTATTTAAGCCAGTGGTACTTCTGATCTCTGTTATCAGCAAGAAAATATAATTCTTCCCTACCCACCTCTCACTACCAACAGTTTATTGTGCAACCTTTCAGGCACAGAGCAAAGTTGAAAGACCGTTTCAGTGAAAACCAAATATACCTACTATCTAAATTATGCAGAGAACATTTTCCTATACTTGCTTTATTGTAATCAATCCTTTTGTTCCTACCTGATCCATCCTTATTTATTTATTTCAATCCTTATTTATTTACTTATTTGGTGCCTTTTGAAGTAAGTTGAAAACACCAATGCACTTTCCCCTGGGTACTTCAGCACACCTAACAAGTAAAAGAACACAGTTCTGAAGTGTTGAGGCACCAATGCTCTGTTTGAAACACAAATGTAGGAGTGCCTCTCAGTTACATGTTCTAAAATGATCACTGGGGTATATTTATCTGTGTATCTCAACTCCTAATGCCTCGCCATCCCCAAAGATATTGATAGTCTGGCCCAGGTACCTGGCCACTCCTGGTAAGAGTCAGGCTCCCTCCAGGAGGCTGTGTGAACAGGAGGCTCCAGGACTGCCACTCAGGAACAGCTTGAGACAGGGACAAGCACTGCCTCATGGCCCTTCTGTCCATTCCCTGGCATCTGCTGAGAGAAGTGCTCTCTTCTCCACTGATGACACAAGAAAGGATCGATGTTCTGGAGGACCTGTGGGATATGTAGGGTCCCCAAATCACTTGAGGAAGAGCAGGCATAAAATCCTTCTGAAGGAAGCTGAGGAGAAGTATGGGATTGAGTTCAGAGACAAAATAAAATAGGGAAGTGGGCATTCCATTACAGAGGGGTGAGAATGTAAAAGTTACCTCAGAATGTATCAATCTTTCTTGCCGGTGATCAGGTTGGCATTACAGACATATATGATAAAGTCAATTACATAGTTAACCAAAACTGTATTTGTCCCATGGTCATGCTGAAGCAAAACAACCCCCTTCTCTGAGTGCTCCCTGCTTTATTACTCACTGAGAAGCTTCTTTTTAAAAATTCACAGTCTACTTTCATTCTTCTTCACATGGCTGTCTAGTTTTCCCAATATCATTTTTTGAAGAGACTTTCCTCTCTCTATTGTATTATTATGGCTCCTTTCACAAAGATTAGCTGTCCATTATCTTATGTCATACACAGAGATTAACTCAGATTGAATTAAAGACTTGAACAGAGACCAGAAACCATAAGACTCCTAGAGGAAAACATAGTCAGTATTCTCTTTGACATTGGTGTTAGCAGTGTCTCTTTGAGTATCATGTCTACTCAAGCAAGGGAAACAAAAGAAAAACATAAACAAGTGGGACTACATCAGACTAAAAAGTTTCTGTAAGGCAAAGGAAACCATGTATAAAATGAAAAGATGATCCATCAACTGAGGGAAAATATTTGCAAATCACATCCCATAGCAAGTTAATTTCCAAATTATATAAAGAATTCATACAACTCAAGAAGAAAAAATGGACAAATTGATCGAAAATGGGCAGAGGTTATGAACAGACATTTTTCCAAAGTGTATATACCGATGGCCAACAGATACATGAAAAGACCTATAACATCACTAATATTTAAAAAAATAAATCAAAACTACAATGAGATATCCCCTCACACCCATCAGAATGGCTATAGTTGACAAGATAAGAAATAACAAGTGTTGGAGAGGATGGAGAGAAAAGGGAACCCTCATACACTATTGGTGGGAATGCAAAATGGTGCAACCACTACGAAAAACATTATGTAGATTTCACAAAAAATTAAAAATATAACTACCATATGATCCAGCTATTCTGTGACTGGATATTTATACAAAGAACATGAAATCAATAATTCAAAAAGATTTATTTCCCCCTATGTTCATCACAGCATTATTCACAAATGCAGAGATGTAGAAACAACCCAAGTGCCCATCCATGGATGAATGGATAAAGAAGATGTAGTGTAAAGATACAATGGAATACTACTCAGTCATAAAAAAGACAAAAATCTTGCCATTTGCTACAACATGGATGGACCTTGAGAGTATTATACTAAGCAAAATAAGTCAAACAGAGAAAGACAAATACTATGTGACTTCACTCATATGTGGAAAATAAATAAACACACACAGAGATAAGGAAAACAGATTAGCAGTTACCAGAGAGGAAGGTGGGGGTGGGGCAAAAGGTATAGAAGAGCACATACGTATGGTGACTGATAAAAACTAGACTATTGGTGGCTAACATGATGCTGTCTATACAGAAACTGCAATATAATAATAAAAACCTGAACCTTACCCTGTGTTACAGGGCAATATGACCCCAATAAAATAATTAAAAAAGAAAAATAAAAAAACAAAAATTCAGAGTCCATCAAAAGCTTTGCTACTGGAAATCATATCAATAAGAGTGAACCCCTCAATTCCTGTCTAGAGGATCTAAGTTACTTTGCACAGAAAAGCTGCCTTGATTTCTAACCTAGAGGCTGAACTTCATATAAGGAGTTTCTGGGCACAACACCTTGATCTCTTGACTTTACAGTTTCCAAGGAAATAGGGACCCAGGAGGACTTTTCATTCAGACATTTACATAAAATGCTGGGAGAGAAATGTATGTGATAAGAGGCAGTAAAAATTCATTAATTCAGCAAATTTTTATTGAAAACCTACCATCTAGTAGGTATTGGGCACTGAATTTAAAATTGGTGAGGAGAGGAGGCATAGGGAGTAGTTAAACCATAGACTTTGAAGCCAGGTTGCTGGGTGAGCTTTATTAGCTGTGTGACCTTGTGCCAGTACTTATCCTCTCTGTGCCTTAGGTTTCCTATCTGTAAAACAAGGATAAAAATAGCATCTGCCTTTTTGAGTTGCTGTTGTGAAGAAATAAGAAAATTCATGCAATTTTCTTACAACAGTGCTCCATAGAGAATAAGCCATGAAATGTATGTAAAGTAAAAAGTAGATTTGTTCCTCCTTCTCAGAGTCGATTGGTTGGAGTTTCCCGTGGAGGAGAGTGAGAAGCCTGGGATTGATGCTGAAGGACTGAAAAACTGAAGGGTGGACTTCCACTGTTAACTTCAGGAGATGATCCTGATAGATACCAAAATGTACACAGAGACTTCTTTCCTGTAGGAAATAGATAAGTGTGTGCATATACTTAACAACAATTCCAGTCTCTTTTGTATAGCAATTGCACTTTCAAGAA